GTATTTTCTTCCTCCTTGGTTTCAATTATTTTAAGTACATCATATACATGGAATCATATAGTATCTGTCATTTTGTGATTGGCTTATTTCACTTAGCATGATGTCCTCAAGTTTCATCCACATTGTAGCCAATGTCAGAATTTCCTTCCTTTTTAAGGCTGAACGATATTCCATTGTATATATGTACCCCATTTTACTTATTCATTTATCCATCTATGGTCACTTGGGATGTTTCCACATTTTAGGTACTGTGAATAATGCTGTTATCGACATGGATGTACAAATATGTTTCCAAGACTCCACTTTCAATTCTGTGGGGTATATACCCAGAAGTGGAATTGGTAGATCATGTGATAATTCTATTTTTAATTTTTTGAGGAACTGCCACTGTTTTCCACAACATTTGTACCATTTTATATCCCCACAGTGCACAAGGATTTCAATTTCTCCACATCCTTGTCAACACTTGTTATCTTGTTTTGTTTTCTTTTGTTTCGTTTTTAACAGTAGCCATCTTGATGGTGTGAGGTCGTAGGAGGATATGCTTTTGAACGCTTCCTCTTTCTTATAATGTATCTTTTCCTGTGGAGCCCATAAACCATTCTGCCCTGGGTCTTTTGTCCTCTCCCTGTCACTCTTGCTTCTCTGCATGAATACTGTCAAGGGTAACATCATCTGCATAATTGGTAATGATGAAAATGTTCTATAATCTGTGCTATCCCATGCAGTAGCCACTGCCCATATGTGGTTACTAAATATGTAAATTGTGGCTAATGATATTGAGGAAATTAATTCTAGTTCTATTTAATTTATTTTTTTAGTTTAAGGCCACATGTGACAAGTGGTTATTACATCAGCTAATGCATTGGATTCTATTTCTTCCTGAGCTCCAACTTCATGTATCCAACTGCTCCTATGACATATTTGTCTAGATGGGCTAAGAATCCAAAATTACACATGTCCAAGGTTAGACTCTATCACTTTCCTCAGCCCAACACCTAATTTGGTTAATTCAATAATATCAACTTTGCCCAAAGTGGAGCTATTCAAATTGTCCTTTACTCTTCACTCTGCTTCATACCCCATATCCAGTAAAGCATATATCCTGTTATTGAAACCTAAAAATGTCTCTTAAATCTGTCTTTTGTTATTCAAAATACATATAATCATTTCTCACCCAATACCACCAACAGCCTGCTTTTTAAAGAACTGTCAAGGGAAGCTCATTGACATTAAGATAAAGTTAATATTTCTTAAATTCTTCAAATGTCACCTTTCTGGTGAATTCTTCAAATCTCAGAAGCATGAACTCCATCATCTTTATTCTCATAACTTGTTTATATCACTATCAACTCTTTTAGTATGTTATATTAAAATGATTTCCTTACCTGTTTACTCCCTTGGACCCATTCTCACATATTGTTTTTATATTTCAAGTGTTCATCCTTGGCTTATAATAGGCTACTAGAATACTTAGATTACTAATAACAATTTATGAGCTAAATGTTGAAGATTTAGAAACATAACTAGACAATTCCTAGGTAGAGAAGGAGAAATAAGCCTATTTCAAAACATAAATCCATGGAGATTTTTATTCACTTATTAAAGGATTAAGCAGCTAAGATTTATATTGGTATTTTATGCATGTGTAGTCTTTGGAGAAATTAGTTTGGCTTCTTTACTAATAAAAAATGCTATTTTTAAAGGTAATTATAGAAGATAAGAAAACATCTTCAACGTCGATGCAATATGTGTTGCCCTTTGGCGACTTTATACAGTACCACCTGACTGTCATTGAAGTAATGATGAATTACACCTTTTAGCATCAATATTGAGCCTCATTCGTTACTTTCTTAGGTTCCATGCTTTATATCAAAAAGACAAATGCCAGGATAAATTCATACTTTGTAAAAAAATATTTTTAAGGAACTGAAGGACAGCATTGGAGAGCTACATACTAGGACTCATAGCTCCTATCCCATGTATGAGTGCAGTTTATTTATTTTCATTTTTTTAATTCAGAAGAAAAAACACCATTGATAGATTCCTAACATTTTAATGCTTAAAAACTGTAATTTACTTTTACATAAATCATATTTATGATCTACAACAAAGGTCCAGAATACAAGGTTACTCACTTGTAAAGGATAATAGATTACATTATATGATCATTTGTATTAGATGTATATGCTTCTTATATTTATTTAATTAGGTTAAATAAATATGTGATGTGTTACAATGCTGTGTATTGAATTCAAACTTTTATTGGGAGAAATAAGAACTAGAATCTTCAATATTTCAATTAATACAGATTTTTTTTAAATGTTTTATAATTGTTGTAATATCAGTCATTGTGTTTTATCATTTTCCGAAGCATTTCTCTTACTTCACACCAGGTTTTCAGAATTCACAGTAACAGAATTTATTCCTAACTCGGTCTTTTTATTCAAAGTCCATTGCTATTTATATAATATCACACTGCTCTGTGAAGTATGAGTGTACTAAATACATGATACACTATGATAATACCACTACTATTCTTACTGAAACAAAACATTCTACAGGTCTCAATCTTTTACAAATTAAATTATATATTCCATTGGTACACACTAACTTACCAGTGTCTTCCCAGCATTTAATTAATTAGTTTAATCATATGCTTTCATATCTAACTTATTCATTTTTTCTTAAGTGAAAACTAAATTCAGAAAATGCAGGTAAGAGTCTATTTGAAGACATCAGCACTCATATTTTGTAATGTGTTAATAATTATACTCAATTACATCCATATTGCTTTTCTAGAGAAAATGTATACACCTTCTTTCAGTCTCACTAGTGAGGAAAGCTATTACTAGTGTACTTCTTTTTGGTGTAGAAAATACAGTTTTACTAAATAAAATAACAAGGTGGTAGCCAAGGTTGTAAAATCTATGCTCCATATTTCCTAGTCATGTGCCTTGTCAACTGCACTGTATTTATATTTTTATTTTGTTGATGACCAGTGAAAATTTGACCTTATTTATTAAAGTATTTATTAAGTACTTCTTGTCATGATTCCCCAGTTTCTCCTATCAGTACACTAAGATTGAACTTCTGAAGCACAATTTCTTTCCCTGGCCTATATCTCCAACATGAGGTATTACCATAGGCAAACATGATGATTGGGGAAACAGTACCAACATTAGATAAATATATTTGGTCATAAAGAGTGTCAGAAATCACTTACTTTGGCACTTAGGCATGTTTTATTTCTTCATAGACATAGAATTTTTTCTAACACCCATTTAATGGGTTAATATCTGCTTACATATGAAATAAATTTGAAAATAAATGTAGACCCTGTGGTAATATCTGCGCACAAATTTGTGTATTCTCCCAAACAGTCTCTGGCTTTCTGTGTTTCACACTAAGTACTGACCTCATATATATGTTCAGGTTATGTTCCATGGTCCCCTACTCCCTTCTTGCCCCCATCCCTGCTTCCCAACATGCTCTTAGGAGTTGTGATGTGTCCAAGACATCATACAGCAAGAATCAGTGTGTGTTTACACCTCTCATTATACACCTGATATCAATAGGGTATCAAATTATTCATTCCACAAAGATCAATGAATTCCCTGATCCAGAGGAAAGCAGGAAAAAAATGGAGAAAATATTACTGTTCCATTGCCCTAAAATCCTCTAATGCTTCACCTAAAAATAAGTAAATAAACCTAGATTTTAAGTATTCAGAATATTTGAATGAATGCACACACATGCACACAAAATCACTTTCACTGAACGTATGCAGATGCACATACTCATTTAAATAGGTATATAGATATATATAGATATCTATTATTATCTATCAATCTATCATCTCTACAAGAATTAAGAATATAGTTAATATTTTGAATACTAAGGAACTATTATTTGGGGGCTACTTTTATGTTGCTATATCCAAATAAAAATGGATATTAAAGGATGGGTACATTAGAAACTAAATTAAGGAAGTGAAATAAATTACAAAGCAAGGAGGTATAAATGTGGTTAAGATTCAGATATTTTGAGCTTAGGAGAATTTTAAGTAAAATGTGGTCCAAACTCCTCTAATTTCAAAAGTTCAGAAAAAATAAATTCACAGTTTTTAAAAAAAGTTAGGGTACACCTAGAATCCTAGTCTGTATTCTGAGTTCATTCTATTGCCGCTTACTGAGTTCAGTTCATTATATCACATTTCCTCTTTCTGAAGGAGAAAAATAGTCTTGTAAAATTTCACTAAGAAGATTTAAGAATGATTCAGTCTTTCAACTAAGCACATATAAATATGTATTATTTTAAATTGCTGAAATGTCAATATTCTCTATAAACTCTATCCCCAAAAGGAAGGTTATGACAGGCTAAACAAATAGTTGGTAAATGTAAAAATTCGTATGATGTCATATGATGTCAGAACATTAAATTTATTTACTCCATACTGTACAATTTAATTTTCTCCATATTATAAATGCACAGCTAAGAGTTTTAAGTAAAAATATAGGTATGACCATCACAGTATAAAAACATTTATTATAAATGCAGTCTTTTTTTTTTCCTTTAAGGAGACATTTTTCTTTTACTGCAACTAAAAAGTACCACCACAAACAACCAAGTATCTTAAATATTGAAACGAAACATTGAAGATACATAAATTCAAAGATGCATTTTATACTGCTCTTAATCAAAGAGTGTACTCGAGAGTATACTACAAATCTACTTCCAGATGAAGGAAAAAAAAATCCTAATTGTTTTATTAAGGATTGATTTTAAATACAAATCATGCTATTGCTCTGTATGATCTTGAGTAGTATATCATCCTTACTCCTTAGTAAAGTAATGGGATGAACTTAAAATCCTTTCAAGTATTTATTAGAAATGAAAATATAAGATTTGTCTTGATTGGTTATTTTCCTTTTCTCCATCTATCAACAAAAACACCCCAAAACTTTCCCAACTTGCTCATGAATGCAGTTATCTCTTACCTTGGTAATGGTTTCATGAAGGTTGAAAAAAGGATCCATTTCTTCAATTTTTGTTGCAAGTTTAGGGAAAAGGGCCTCAGAGAGAAAACTTGGACCCTGCGGAAAATCAGAAAAGAAACATTTAAAACTCTTCATTGATTGTGTTTTTCAAGTGTTTACTGGATTTTCTTTAAAGATTCAAAAGGACCCTAAATTGCTTTAAGTCTTCTGTTGATTGTTGGCCTTCATTCTGATCTAATTAACTAATTGCAGAACCCTTGTAAATTAAAATGAGTAGAATTCTAGAACTCTTATTTTTATTTATAATTTTTTTTTTATTTAGAGGAGATAATTCTTTGCAGCCCTCCCTTTTCTCAAATGCAGGCTTATACGTAAAGCAAGATATCCTGATGACAAAACCTATAGCATAACCTCTTCTCTGATTTATATATTAAATTTTACATTTTAAGGCTGGAAGGATGGAATGTTTTTGATAAACATGATTACCATCTAAAAAAGCCTAGGCAAAAGTATGCATGACATTTAAAATATTGCAAAACTCACTTCAAAGCAATAGTAAGATATTTTGGATAGACTGGTCTTATGGCTCCGCATGCTTCCAATAAAATGATAGGATGCTAACTGTATCAGAACCTTGGTGTTTAGATGGTTGAAATCAGAGAAACTTTTTTTTTTTAATCAGAAAAACTTTAACTAGTCATTTTGTACTTCCAGGTGTAAACAAATTTCAGGATGTAAGAAGACACAGGATGCTGACAATGTTAGCATCTACTATGCTCTAAATATTCATGCTCATCTAAAATTCCTGTATCGAAATCCTAATGTCCAAAGTAATTGTATTAGGACGTGGGGCATTTGGAGGTGATTAGGTCATGAGGGATTCATCCTTGTAATTGGGATAAGTGTCCTTATAAAAGAGCCCTCACAGAACTCCCCAGCACCCTCCTTTATGTGAAGACACAAGAAGTTTGCAACCATGGAAAAGAGTCCTCACTCCATCATGTTGGAAACCTGACCTTGGACTTCCTACCTCCAGAACTGTGAGAAATTACGTTCGGTTGCTTTTTATGCCCCTCAGCCTGTGATACTTTGTCGCAGCAGTCCAAAAGGACTAAGACACTATCCAAAATAATAATCTTGCAGTTATCAACATTCTTAACATCCCATGAGATGATTATTACTTACCATATAAATATAGCTTTTACTTGAAAACCTGAAGTAACTAGGATTTGTCTAGAAAACAGAAGAATTGGGACAGAATATGTACATATGTAGACTATTGAATGATAATCTTTCTGAAGGGTATTGTAGGGAAGAAAGATTCAACCAAATCTAACCAGCAATGACTACAACAGGGTAACAAATTTAAACTGAATTCTATTAGAACTATTTAATAAAGCTATTAATTAGAGCAATCAGGCAGTAGCACAGACTATTTTGGGATATATCAATGATGAGAAAGAAAGTTAGGATGATGTAGTTGATGGACTCTGAAGTCATACAGATGAGGACTAAAACTAATATATTAGCAATTCCCTAGAAGTTAAACAATGCTCTAATCAGGCATACTCTTCATCCCCTATTTTGAACAGTACTGTGATCAAACAAAAGTAATTTAGCTGTTTTCTCCAGTATATACCCACTTTTGGATAATAAAATCGTGAATCAAACAGCTTATCTATCTAGACAAACAGCTTATTTATAACTTATTTATAACTGTTTTATGTTCCTCTCCTCATTTTGCCCTCCAATCTAAAACTAATTGGTCAGAAACTCTGCCCAATTCCAACCAGTACTCCACTTTTTAAGGCTTACCATAAAACCACACAACCAGGCTAAAATAAATATCCTTCCTTAATTTCCCCATTTGAAGAGTCTTCTAAGACTCAGTGTTATGGGTTGAATAATTCATATATTGAAGTTCTAACCTTCAATATCTCAGAATCTGATCTTATTTGGAAATAGATCATTGCAGATGTAGCTACCTAATCTAGAATGAGGTTATACTGGAATGGAGTGAGTCCCTAATACAATATGACTAGTGTCCTTCCCGAAGGAGAAAATTTGGAGATAGATGTGCACACAGGGAGAAAACCATGTGAACATGAGGGCAGAAATTGGAGTGATGAGCCTACAAGCCAAGGAACTCCAAAGATTGCCAGAAAACCACCAGAAGCTAGGCAAGAGGCTTGGGACAGATTTTTTTGTCACACATCCCAGGACACCACCTCTGATACCACACTGAACAATAGACGTCTGCATACTCAATCTATGGTGCTTTGTTATGGCAGCCCTAGGAAACTAAAACACTTAGTCAGAATGCTATTCTTCCTCACTGCAGAAGGTCTCATAAACTTAATTGTCTTTATCAGTAAGGTTTTTTTGGAGGCATTTGGGGCAGTCAACATAGAAATACATTAAAATTTTGGTTTTGCCACTTAATAATTATGTCATCTTAAATATCTTACTCTCCAAAGGATTAGTTAATGCTTCTAAAAAACTTAAATAGCATCTACTTCACAGAGATGTTGTGAACTGTCGAATGCCTGCCACACAGGAGATACTACATTAATGGCATTGATGATGAGGCTAATAGCAATAAATCTCATAATGATGCTGGTAAGGGTGGTGGTGATGTGGTGGTAATTACAGTAGGATGCTGAACTAAAGGAAATCCAAAGACCACTCTATAATCCTGTGAAAGACTGGGCATAGTTTGCATTTAGATATGTTTGTTTTTCTAAAGAGAGATATCTTTGAATCAACTTTAGTAAAAAAAATGGCATGAATAATTTGCAGCATTCATTTTCATTTAATAATTTAAGCTTGAAGTCCTTAAAAAGTTTGTTTCATGAGTGGTTTTAAATGAACTTTTTGACATAATTTTCTTATTAGTTTACTCAGCAAAACGAAATTTCATAAATAGTGCAAAGGTAAAATATCAGCCCACCTCAAATTGAATAATCCCATGGAAGATAAATAGGGAGCTATAATTAATGAGGTTTTTATTGAACTTTCAATTATTTAGTAGCAGTACATGTTAATTTAAATTATCCATATGAGCCTTATCCTCCAATGTAATCCCTTTCTTTCTCTTATTCCTTCACCTATCTCTTGCCATACCATTCTTTGTTTCTGCTGCCTCATTTATTTATTTAAAAAATACTCATGTGACCCTTCTACATGCCATTTACTACACTAAGTGCAGGACACGATCCTTAATCTCATGGAGTTTAATCTAATGGGATTTGAACACACATCAAATATCACTCTTTTAAAATATTAAGACACTGCCATTCTTTACATGTGTGTGTATATATACCCACGTGTGTGTATATGTACCTATATATGTATATATATATATATAGATAGATAGATATATATAGATATATAACATTATCACTCATAGACAGGTATTTATATATCCTCACATAAAAATAATGAAAAGATTAAAAGAAGGATATATGCATTATGAAAGTTTTCTACTACTATTACATTAACTCTGAGTGATGGCTGTTTAATAATGGCCCCATCTGTAGATGAAGAAGGAAGTTAAGCACCACTAACTACTTAGAAAGGACTTTTGTTTAGAACAATTATTGATAGCTTAAAATAAAAGAGTAAATCAAGATATATGAAAAACTTAACATTATATGTCTGCCACCTGGAGATCATAATAAAAATATTATAGAAGAAGGGATATTGATAAGAAAAATCTATCAAGGATATGGTGTAAAATTCCATTTTTCTCCCCAGTCACTAACTTACTTGTCCTTTCTGTAACATTTCACCATATTTAGGACACTTTCTTTCTTTCAACTCTTTTGTCTAATGTCACTGATTTGATCCTGCTGGTTCTCTATTTGTATATTATTCTCTACCTACCTGAACTGGATTTCCTTTTTTTTTTTTTTTTTTTAATCTTACTATCATTTTTAGGTAGTCTACACTGTCTTCTCTTTTTCACCAGCTAAGTGGTTTTATCTACCTTTCTGGCTTCAACTACCGTCTTCAAAATGGTAATTTCGAAATCTTTATCTCCATACTTGATCCTTATTTTTAGTTCATTGTTTTTATTTGTTTATGAGATCCTTCAGATGTTATCAACTTATGTTCCAAATAATGATCATGCGTTTCCCCAATTATTGCCTTCATTTCTTATCTTGGATGATAGATAGCATCATATCTATATTTTGCCTATATATATATTTTTTTTTTGAAATTTTATGCTATTCTTGGCTCCAAAGTCTCTCACCCTTTGTACCACAGAATAGCATTAGCCGATCCCCTTCTAATCTATATATTTAATTTTCTACAAATTTCTATCCGTTGCTATAGTCTAGTTATTTATGACTTTTACCCAAACTATGGTCCCTACTGACTATAGACCAAAGCTTAAATTCATTAGCATGATATTTCACAAACAAGTCCTAGCTTTTTTTCTTTCACCTTTGAACAATTCTTTCTTTCCCATAACTACTTCACAGCATTTCCATATAACTTCTGTTTATAGCATAGCAAGCTATTCACCAATCTGGACCCCCACTTACTTTTACTATCTCTATTCCTATACTTATGCCATTTCCTCATCTGCCTGAGATGTTCTTCCTCCATCTGGTTATGAGGCTGCTTTCTACAATTGCTTTCCTTGATCCTCACCAACCCATCATAGTTCACTGTGTCAGTGTTTTCATATCACTTTATACTTACTTTTCCTCATCGTTTATTACATTGTGTTTTTGTTATATTTCTGTTTTCTTTACTATATTCTGCGCCTTTTAAGACTTGGAAGCCCTTTTGTATTAAAAGAGTAAAAAAATGCCAGACAGCCTTGAGTAAGTCATTAATCTCTCAATCTTAGTATCATCAAACCATAAGGTTGAAAAATGTAAACATGCTGGTTCTTCTCAGAGAGATCATGTCAAAATTAAGCAAAGGAACAAAGCATATGAATGTGCTCAGGAAGGAGGAAAGGACTACATTAAAACTGGGTGGTGTCTGATTTTTATCACATGTGTCAGGAATTGCTTTTTTTATGTAAGCAAAAGTGAGTTTTGAAATTTAAATTTCTATAAATATGTGCTTGTGTATTGACC